ATGAAACGTTAATATTTAGTTAAATTTACTTCTATAAATAATTAGAAAGACAGTTTGTCATAAAAGCCAAATCTTTGGACCAAACACAAAAAAAAATGTCTATTTTATACATAAATAATGTCCGTATGCAAATCGAACATACAAATAAAAGTAAAACACGGCGATGAGACGAATTTGGGTGATACGGGTTTTCGATGCGAAACCCATTTTGTCTGGTAAATAATGGCCGTTGGACGTTGCTTTTTTTTTACATTCCACCGGTTTTATCCTCTTTTTTTTATATATATATTTTTTTTTTTTGGGTCATTCCATTGACACGGAGGGACATCCAGGGATTCTCTTGTGTCTGACATAAATCCGATTGGAAAAGGTTAATTTCATGCGTGGACCCACGTAAACTCCGTCCACCGTTCGCATATATTTTTTTTATTTTTTTTCCTTTTTTTTTTTTTTTTAACGCCAACTAATAACGATTTTAGAAAAGGTCACACACGCACACACAAACTCAACAGAACAGATCCAATTTGCTGAGAATGGAACGCAAGGAAACGTTAAAAAAAATTACGATTAAAATCATGGAGAAATGCACAATGTAAAAGCTATATGCTAATATTAATAATTGTATGTATTATGAGAGCCATTAATATCAACGCTGCATTAATAATGAAGTCGTATATATATAAAAAAAAAAAATCCGTTTGGAATGAACCGTACATAATAATTATAAGAATTTTCACATTTTCATCGAAGGAAAAGTTTGGTGAAATTGATAAATCTGACACGTTGGAAAGCTCAAAGATTTAGCTTTAATTTGCGTGCTTATTAATAATTGTGTCGTGTATAGTTATTGAGAAAACTGATAATTTGTGAAGACACTCGATTTTCCGAGGCTTAAAAAACGTTTTTCAACTTTGACAGTAAATTACAGGAAATCGCAAAGTTACAAATAATTCTACATGATACGTTGGAAAGCTCAAACATTTAGCTTTAATTTGCATCCTTATTATTAATTGGATCATGTATAGTTATTGAGAAAACTCATAATTTGTGAAGACACTCGATTTTCCGAAGCTTAGAAAAACTTTTTTCAACTTTGACTGTAAATTACAGGAACTTGGCAATAGTTACAAATAATTCTACATGACACGTTGGAAAGCTCAAACATTTAGCTTTAATTTGCGTGCTTATTAATAATTGTGTCGTATATAGTTATTGAGAAAACTCAAAATTTGTGAAGACACTCGATTTTTAGAGGCTTAGAATTTTGACCAGAAATTCCAGGAAATCGGTAATAGTTACACATATATCTAAATAGCATGTTAGAAAACTGAAACATTTAGCTTTAATTTGCTTGCTTATTAATAATTGTGGCATGTATAGTTATTGAGAAAATTGATAATTTGTGAAGACACTCGATTTTTCAAAAAAAAAAGATTTTTCTAAAAACGACATTTTTAGAACTGATACAACTAAGTCTTATAAAATTTTTAACTTGAATTAATAAACAATGAAATTTTAAGAGATGTTGAATTAAAATTTAATTTTAACGTTATAATCTATAAAATTCTTGCAATTGCAAATCATAATTGAAAAATAACTATATTTTTACACGTAATCACGATATTCACCGTAAATTCGAACAAAATAATTTCCAAGAAAGAATTGCGGTGAGAGTATCATCAGCATCATCATGATCATCGTGCTATTATTAAGCATTCGCGCCTGCTTTAATATTATCCAACTGTAAATAATCATCGGGCGAATGTGGGCCACGAGTTGCGTGCGTAGCAGCAAATGATTCATAAATACATTCATTAAAAACCGTATGAATAACATAATAATAATATCCCCGTTCGCGCGATTTTCCTCTCCGAATCGCCGGCAATTCACAAGCATTTCTCGAGAAGAAATAGAGAGAGAAAAAGCAACTTCCCTTCTTCGACGAAAAGAAAATAAATAAACGAGAACGAAACCACAACAAACACTTTCCTTCCAGTCTAAATAACGCGTAAATATCGAGCAAATCGTAAATATACAAAAAAATGCCGTGCTTTATTTATTTACTTTCTGCTTAACTACGAACGGCTAGACAGGTATTATTAATGCTCGGGCTATTTATGTAACGATCGTATAAACACTAGCATGCTTTGATCTAGTATTTCGATCAGTGCGGATTCCCTATAGTACGGTTTAAAACCGCACTATGCTTGTACTATTTTCGTATATATATATTTTTTACAACAGCTTTCTAAAAACTTAAACAACGTTCTATAAAGTTATTTCTTGGATTGATGTACCTTATCTTTGTCTCTTGCTAAAGTCTCTTGTTTATTGATTTATAAAATTGCATTATTTTCACTTCATTTGTGAACTTAAACTTTAATAAGTGAAACTTCCAAACGAATCTATCATAATTAGGAATAAATGAATTAATAATAGAAATCAAAATCGCCAAATAGCCAAAACAAATTTATATTCTAATTTATTTTTGATGAAACTTCTATAAAGAGTGAAACTATAGTTCAATCAAATTAATTATAATTACAGGTGTTTCCTAATGCAGCAGCAGTAAATTGATGGAGCCGCGAACCTTGAAACACATTTTCATTATACTTTTTTTAATCATTTCGTGATTTATTTGCGAAATGCAGAAACTCAGTTCTGACACTCTCAATTTCGCAATTCACCATTCAATAACGATGTATATGCATATTCATTTTTACAATTAATCATTTCAGTTCAATTCTCTCAGCAATTATTTCTATAATTTCCAAAAAAAAAAACGTTTATTGTTTCTTTTATAGCTTAGAAATGTTTAATTATTAAAAGCAAATCTGTAGTGAAAATTACCCTAACAAATTACTTGACCGAATTAAACTTAAACTAAATCTATGTATTTTAATAATGTACAGCAATAGTGCGGTTCCATCAATATCCTTGTATAAAACCGGACTAATCGAGGACATTAAAACCCTAACATAGATCACAAAAAGAGACTTAATTATGTGACGATAATTTTTATTTTTTTGCTCAGTTAAAATTTAGTTTTTTCTTTTTAAATTTTCAAACCGTACTATAACGAATCCTCAGTGGTCGTAACAGCACTATAACTGTATTTACTAATACTAATAATCCAAAGTAAACTATACCCATAAATGTTCTAACTTATCTAAAATAATCTTAACCCAAATTACAAAATGATATTAAACTAATTACAAATTTCGCAAGATTGAAACAGAAACAGTTGAACACTAACGATACTTATATGGATAGGACAACAAAAACAACAAAAAAATTGTCTTCTATACTTTCTGATTTTCAATACAAAACACAAATGGAATCAATGTATTACACAACAAAACGACTGCAATCAGTTCATTGACGTGATCTTTCCACAATCTCCAGCAACAACTTCACTGCATTGTTTTCATAAAATACCAGTGTGAGTCAACGTTTATAGCCTACTTGCGTTTTGTTATTATTTTTGTGTTTTATCGAACGAACGAATTAATTTGCATCAGAAACGTTTTCGAGACCAATTTCTAAATTTATACATTCGCCTGGATCATTTTTATTTAGACAATCTTCAGTCGAGTCACCAGCAATTCGGACAAAATCGAAACGCACATCAACTGTTTTCTATACCACTATGTTTTTTTTAGTACTTCATTAATGAACTCAGCTATTTACTAGTATAATTTTTGGTTTAACTTTGATGTTTTTTCCAATTTCAGTTACTCAAAGATTTTTATGTAAAACTAATATTATCTATAATTTTGTTGTAATTTAACCCCAACTAGTTCAATAATTAAGTTATTTACTAATTACTTATAATACTTTAAACTTTTATACTCTTTTTTAAATCTCCATGGTTGACACAAACTTGATTCATTTGAAACTGTTTAAAATCTATCAAATTTTCTAATTTCCAAAACTAATCAAGATAAATTATGTTTTGTCAAAGAAAAATTCATATTTTTTTGCTTTGAATTAAACTATATTTTATTTTAAGAACAAATATATGAATTCTTATGAAATAAGACTCAAATTCTGATATGAGAAATTGTTATTTAAAAAAGAAGCTAATAAATGAAACACGTGAGATTGTTTCGAATTCATCCTTGATCTTTGACATTTACAACTAGATACGTTGCGGAAAACAGCAAATTTCCATTTATGACTCGAAACGAAATAGATTACTTTATTACCGAATATTTGAAAATTGTTATTAAAAGAAAAATACGTCACTAATTAATCTCATCATTTGCAATCATTAATTATCTGTTAAATTTTAGAATAAAAAGCAAATCAATCATTTATTGTTATAGAACAAACAATAAGATTGATGTCTTAATTAACAATAACTGGATAAAGGAGATAATTTAATTAAACAAAAAATATAAAGAAATCAATAGATAATTGCAGAAAAACACGTACGTATTCAAATGAAATGAATCACAACTTTGAATATCCTTAAGATTAACGTTGTTTATCGATGAGTCATTAATATTTATATAATAATAATAACATTAACGATAACATTTGCATATGCAACGATACACATATATCAAATAACGGATCAAGCGTCAAGTTTAATGGTAACTATGGAGACAATTTGCATGTTTGACAATTTAATAATTTAACCTTCCACTAATTAAGTCCACTCTATTCGTTTGCATAGAGAGAGAGAGAGAGAGAGAATCCATGCAGTTTTCAATTATATTCAAATTCAAACAATTCCGCAATTAACGGCTTACGTAAACTTACTGTTACGGTCATCAATTAGAGGCACGAGAGAGTGAGAGAGGATGACAAGCAAGTCATTGGTAGCTTGGATCAGTTTTGGGAACATGCCCCGCGCCAATGTTTGTATTGGTCGGATGGAGAGCATATCGATTGTTTAGTGTGAAGTGCGCGTTTCATTTTTTTTTTGTTTCTTTACGTAAGAATCGATTTGCGAAGAGCGATCTCGTGTTTACGTAACAGTTGTACTTTCTTACGCTGAATTTGTTTATAATCCTATTGAAGGGCGTCGGTGTTTTGGGCTTGGGACTGCTGCTGTCGACGTGATCGACCCTCTTCTTGCACAGTTTATTCCCCATTGCGCGCACTTGGATGGATGACGACGGGCCACGGTCTATCTAGTAATTAGTCCAATCCGTGCAACAGTAACGCGGTGAGAGGTCGAGCGTTTCAGAAAACAAAACAAAAACAAAAAAAAACGATGAACAACGTATGTAATGAGAATGTGGTAGGTAGGTGGGTGAGTGTGAGTGTGTTCCGAACGCGCGTTCAGCCAGTACTAAACTAGCTGCTGGTGGTACTGCTAAAACGACGAGCGGAGGAGCGCCCCGGCTTTGCCCACAACATCAACCTTTACCTCGCACACTTTCCAGTCGGAGACTAAGGTTGTTACAACATTTACGAACGTGCGGCCACCTCTTTTTTCTTTTTTCTTTCCATCGTGCCCCGCGCTCGTCGTACCTTTCTTTGTCTTCTTTCGGACCATGTCCCACGCCATCTGCCCAACATTTGTACCATCCAGTTTATCCACTCTCTTCTTCTTCTTCTTCTTCTTCGGAAATGAATGAACTTACGTCACCGGCAATTTAGACGCGCCACCAACCTTCGCGACAATTCACACGCCAACCTCGATCCACGTTCTAATTGCAACGATAACTGCTTATCAAAACAATAAGAACAACGTCTATTTAACGAATCCGTCACTCGATTACTTCTTTAAAATACTATTTCTTCTCATATCTTCACAAATCACATTTTCTTCTCATTTTTTAAATTTATCGAATTTATTCCAATTTCGCAAATGTTTGTATACAATTTAAGTGTATTTTATGTTTTCAAATCAATAAATATTAAAAAAAATATACTAATTGAAAACATTTCCATGGTTTTTTTTTCAAATTCACAATATTTCAAATTTCAATATTGCTTTTTCAGTCTTTTCAGTTTTTCGTGGATTTCTCGACAACCCCTTAAGATAATTACATCATCGACCACTCGTATGAAAGCTGAATGTCTCCCCTTTCCAACGAGCCCACTGGTATCTTCGTACTGCTGCCGAGTCGCTTGCTATGGGCTGTAGAATGTGGAAAAAAGGTGAATAGAATTTGTCAAAAAATGGTTGTAATTTAGTTTATCATGAATTTCTCAACAACCCCTCAAGATAATTAGATCATCTACCACTCGTATGAAAGCTGAATGACTCACCTTTCCAGCAAGCCTACTGGCATCTACGTACTGCCGCCGAGTCGCTTGCTATGAGCTGTAGAAGTGGGAAAGAAAGTGAATTGAATTTGTCAAAAAATGGATGTTTTCAGTTTTTTGTTGATAACTTTTTATGTAACAAAAGTTACGTAATGTTCGTTACGTAACAGAGAAACGACGTTTTTTTCGTTTGTATTTGCATCTACTACTTCCGGGTGGGATGTACGTACTATCACCATGGAAACTTATTAAAACAATCGAACAAACTTCAAACGGCGTCGCTTTCGACGTTCCGTTCTGTGCGGATTTTGTGTGTTTGTGTTGTACTACACATCACGTTCATTTCTTGTTTGTATTGTTGTTGTTATTGTTCGGTGAAGATGTCGCAGGTTTTTACGCAGGAGGAGGAGGACTTTTTCAGAGAGTTCGAATTTGGTTTGGCCAGGAAATCGGCCGAGGAGCAGGAGCAGCAGGATGCTCTTCTTTTGAGCAGTACTGTCGAAGGGTGAGTGAATTATGAACGATTGAAACAAAGATAAAGTTGTTGTTCTTGTTAGACGATTGGTGGAGGGTGAGAATGAAGCGGTGCCGCTGCTTCAACCGGACCATCCGCTCCTGGAGAGATTCCAGAAGGCGCTGAAAGAGCATCTGGTGAAACAGATCGAGAGGTTCAAGGAGGAACTGGGCGAGATGGAGACGGGCGCGAAGAAGCAGAACGGAATGAGGGAACAGCTGGGAATAGAAGCGTACGAGAAGCAGCAGTTAGTGTATAGGCAGCAGCAGGAAATCGATGAATGCGTTAAAGAATTGGAAACGATTTCGGCGGCAAAGGAGGAACTCGAATCGGAGCTGAACGTTAAGAACGAAGAGTACAAGATGGAAAGCGACAAGTTGCACGAGATGGAAAGGCAGGAGGTTGCCGTGACGAAGGAGGTAGAATCGCAGAATCTGCTGATCCATCAGATGTCCAAGTGGGAGAGCGAACTCGAATCGACGTTGACGATCAACCAGAGGATCGCCGAGAAGACGAGAAAAGATAAACTGAGATTGGCCGACGAGAAGAAGCGGCAGGACTTTCTCATCTATCGTCTGATGTCGGAGGTTTGGAGATTGGAGGGTGAATTAGAGACGATGCTGATGCAGCTGAGGGTGAGGGAGGAGGAGAGGGAACGATTGGCAGAATCGGTGATGCTCTCCAATGTGGACATCGAAGCAAGCGAGGCGGAAAACAAATGTCTAACGCAGGGATGGCAATCTGTGATCGCGACGATCGCGAGTCGAGACCGCAGACACACGCAACTGCTCGCCGAATACGCGAAACGTTCGGAGACGTTGGCCGCCGTCCGATGCGAGAGTCTGCAGGTGAAGAAGATGGCGAACAAGGAGCTAGTGCGAAACGAGACGTTGATGCTGTTCAAGGATCGCATCACGAAAGACATCAAAGTTGCAAACAGGATGCTCGACGTTGAGGTGGAGAGGAGGTCGAGATGTGAGAGGGACATGGCACGATACGATGCGGTCCTGTCGCGTCTCGATGACGGACTGGCAAGGAACAGGATCGAGATGCAAAGGTTGGAGCTGTACCTGAAGGACATCGCCAGGTCGTGGGACAGATCGAACATGGAGAGGAACCGCATCGAGGAGGACATTTACACCGTCCTCCAGAACAACGTGACCAACAACAAAGCGTCGGCTCATCTGAAGAAGTTAGCCGGGGAGGTGAAGGAG